TGTGTGTGTGTGTGTGTGTGTATATATATATATATATATATATATATATATATATATATATATATGAAATCTTTGGTAATCAGTGACTATTGAACTTCATTCCTCAAGGGATGGGTAGACATAAAGTTTGAAATAACTCACTGAAATGAAAGAAATTTTTTACATTGTGAATTTCATTTTGGTCTCCATGGGTCTGAAATCCAGCTGTTATTGAAACTGGCAGATAAGAGTGTTCCAGTAAATGTCTTGGTGGCAGGAACTCTATCTTCTGTGTTATTTTTTTCCTGTTTTGCATCCTCATAAGGTTGAACATAGTGCTCTGCACATACACAACACATAGTAAATACTTGCTCAATGAACTGATTTTGATAATACATGTAACTAAAATGCTGCCAAGGGAAGTGACAAGGTGGTAGAGAGGTCAGCCTGGCCTTTCAGATGAAGAGCTGGCTTTCAAATCTGTAGGGCAGCCTTCGCTTCTGCTGCCACTCACATCGCAAACTGCTGTACCTCACGCTCTGGTAGGCCATGAAAACAGAGGTTTAGGGGGATGGCAATCTTGGGGCATTGCAGATACACATAATCTTTGAAATCATCACACCCTCAGCCCGATTATCATATGTATGGTATGATGTGGTTTAAAAAAATTGGCAATCCACCTGTGTTACTTATTTGCCACTTGTTATCATATACAGCTTTTTTTTTTTTACTACCCCAGGAAATAAGATTTTGAAAAGTATGACTGTTGTTCCTTTTAGTCAGTCAACATGATTTAAAAAACACACACTATATAGTTGAGCTTTTTGCATTTAAGTCTTATATGACCTCTCTGTTAATTAATTTAAAAGGTGGTTCTTTTTTCGTACAAGTTATCTTCTAATCACTACTAGTGATCTCAGAGTTAGGGGGCTTTCCACCCCTCAGGCGAAGCCTGTAAAAGTCATCAGATATAGTCCATTATCCTGTTTAGAAAACATTTAATGAACACTGATTATGTTTTGGGGATGTTCTTATGATTCATTCACACTGGAAGATGAAAATGAATAGAGAATGCTGTGCAAGAATGGAGAGTAATTTTAGGAACTGATTTTTTTGTTCTCCATGCCTCTCGTCCTCTGTGCCAGTGACCAAATGGAGCCTTGACTGTAGAACAGAGCTCTAAGAAGCCTCTTTGAGAGAAAGGCTCTTACCTGGCAGGAATCCTTTTGGCCTTTGGCATCTCCTGCACATATCATGCCTTTAGTTATAATAGGGTTGTGGTTGTAATAACTTCGGCTGTTGCAAAGTTTTCGACTTATGACAGTAACAGTGACTTCTCGCAGAGTATCAGAGAAGCTGAAAAGTTCTGAGTCGGTGCTGCCCCAGCCAGTAACCTGGCATTTTGTCCCAGCTCTAATATCATTTTTGGTGCTTGGGTAGAGCAGCTTGACATGCTTATCAAGTTTTGCGGCCGTGTGAAGCTGACAGATTGAAAAGAGAATAAATTATTATTCATCCCCAGTAGTATTCTGCTATTAGCCTGAGTGATATATGTGTGGTCCCTGTCCTAGGAGGGTGTCCCTCTTCTCGAATCTACTTTGGTGGTAGCCTGCAGCTGCATTTGTGGTTGTTGCTTTTCAGAACATGCTCTCTATTCCCCATAGAGCTCAGTGATGCTTGTGGAGGGAGCTTACACAGAGCAGGAATTTTGCCCAGTCTAAAGTAAACTGGCCTTTGCTCTGCACTGGATGGTTTTCTGTGGAATAACATCCATAGGCCATGACTTTGAGGGCTGGGCTGTTTCCTGCTGGATAGGACCCTTGAGTACGGTCTAGACTAAGTTTGGACTAGTCTAAGTACGGTCTAGACTAAGTTGTAACTCACTTCTGTGAGCCTGAAGTCACTTGGTTGGCTCTGTTGTATAAATGATTTGTATTTTTCATTTGCTAATGATAAAAGCATTTGGGAAAAAGCTTTCAGTGTGGATCCTTAGGGCCTGTTGGGATGTTCCCCTCCCACATATGTAAGCATCAGAGTTGCTTTTTTCTTGTGTTAACACAACCTTGATAGGATACATTTGAGAAAAATTCTTGTTTTTTTCAAGGCAGTATATGGAGTAAAATGGGCCCTTATGGAATATGTCAGTTACCTCAAATATGGAGAGAGTGCTAATAAAATGCTTTTGTACAGATGATTTTACCACTGAACTATGTTGTATAAGACTGTTGGAGAAGCTGAAGGAAGGCAATGCTACGTACCTTAACCAGCATAATATCACTTGATTTGGCATCTGATGTAGATCTTGGGAATGGTACGAATTTTATAATCTCAAATGTTTGTTTGGAGGCTTCATTCTTTGAGAGAGAGTGTGCTCCTAAAACCACTTTGGAAGATTGGCGTTTGCCAAACCTAAGAAGCAATAAAATGATTCACAAATCCCCCAGTGGGAGAAGAAATGGTGGAAAAGTTCATATACATATAGGAACAGGGACCATCTCCAAGGTAATTTGTCTAGGATTAGGTGGAGTGACAGAGGTCTCAGTGGACCCCAAGCATGAATGAATAATATAAAGGGACAATTGACTCACCTTAAACCCACCCCACTCCAATTCTCTAGCACTACAAAAGAATATCAGAGCTTGTACCCTACTGTGGGAAAAAAGGAATAAAATTCTAATTGACTAAGATCAAGTTTACAACAAAAATTGTATTAATTTATGTAAAAATAAAGGAACTTATATTTCTAAAGTTTGTGGGTTGAGATTTATACCCACCATTTTATTTTGTTTTATTAATTGAGGTAAAATATATATAACATAAAATTTACAACTTTAAGCATTTTTAAATGTACAGTTCTATGGCATTAAATATATTTATATTATTCATCTGTCACCACCATCAATCTCTAAACCTTTTTTTTCATCTTCCCAGTGTTAAATGTATTAGTAACTAAAAGGTAAAGACTCAACATATATTTGCTAATCTGGTAGGTCTAGATGTCATCTCAAGGCAATATGGAGAAGTAAGGTCTATTACATGGCTGTCAAATATGCTCATATGTTTTGTCTCCTCAATTGGAAAGATGGTTTGGAGAAGAAATGAAAACTTACCTCAAGGTGAAAAATCACTACTAATCTGAAATGAAGAAGACACTTTAGGGTAAGTAGCCATTGATAATTCTATTGTGGAGATTTAGAGCATGTAAACTGGTGAGTCAGATGAAGAAAAAACAGTGTTATGTTTGTTTTTTTAAAATCTCTGGTCATATACAGATCTAGTACCAGCATTTCAATAGTGCCATGATTGATCTAGTTTACTGTATGTTGAATAAAATTACACTTACCTGAAGTTACAAAAATAAAAATGATTTTTTTGGAGATCTTACCAACACCTTGGAGTGTTTCTGCTTAGACCCATGCCTCCAGGTCTGACAGTGAAGGCAGGGCCACTATATCTTGGAGGTCTCTTTTCCATAAGAAAGGAGGGAATACCTGGCTGTCACTGTCCTATTCCATCAATGCAATAATAATATAATAACATTAGATAATATTTATTAAGTTATTGAGATATGCCAGGTTTTGTACTAAGCATTTTACCTATTTCCCCTCATTTTAATTTCACAACAGCCCTGTCAGGGAGGTATTGTGATTAGTCCCATTTTGCAAATTAGGAAATTGAAGCTCAGGTAAATTAACAAACGAGTAAGTCTCACAGATATTAAGTCTACAAATGCAGGAGGGATGAAAGCTCAGTTTGTTTGAATCCAGGACTTGAATTTTTAACCATTCTACTCTGGGAGCCTTGAGTGATTTGAAGTAGAGTGAGGCCTTGTGGACAGGGCTTTGGGGGCTTCCACCTAATCACTGGCTAAGCAGGTGAAAGGATGGGAAAAGTACACAGTGAAGGAAGGCTTTGGAGGAGATTTGAGAAGACAGTGGACAAGAATTGGTGAGAGATTTGCTTCTGATAAGTTAAAATGCTGAAAATAAGATTATACAAGAAGCCTTTATACCCGTTTCCTTTTATAATTGGTATGGCAACTAATAAAGGGTGAAGACATTAAGTGAAGAACAATGTGGATGGGTAATGAGAAGGGAGCACCCCGGATTTGGCCTCCTCCACTGTTTTGCTGAGAGAGGGGCCAGGGGTTAGTAAGCTATTCCCAGAGGATACTTGGGAGTACATTTGTGGGAAGCCACCAATGAACTATTTCATAAATATTTTGGATTTCATAAAGCTTAATATTTTTCTAAGCACCAATCTGCCTACATTTTTACACCCAAGTGTCCTGTAGAGGAAATTTGATCCACATATTCTGAAGTTCTTTAAACTTTAACCATTTAAAATGATATTTAGCGGCTTTTTTTTTTTTAACTCTAAGACCCCTTTTCGCTAATTTGTCAATTTGGGAATCCATCCCTACTGAGTCAGATTCACTTGGCAAAATTTAAAATTTGACTTAATAATATTACCTTTGGGTAACGCTTTATGGCTTGTGTTTTGGCTTAGAAAAAAAAATCCTCCAATTTATTTCCTTCTTTCTATTCAGCATTTGTTGAACATTTATAAGAAGTCAAGCTCTATGTCTGGGGAGATTAGAGCCCATTTGAATGTATACCATAAACATATTTGAGGACATGCATATTTTGAATTGAATGAACATTGATTGATAGTCCCCCTCTGCCTAGCTGGTCCCAGGGAACAAGTGCTCTGGAAAGGGCAGAAGTGATGGGGACACAAGGGTGATTTCTATGACAGCAAGAACCCCACTTAAATAAAGTAATCATATTAAATCAGACATTAGTGGCTTGCTATTTAGAAACAAAACAGGAGTTCTCACTGTTTCTAGGCTTCAAAATTTCTAATTTGTGTTCAAAATTCTCATTAATGTGGCAATCAAACAAAACCCCCCCAAAACACAGAGCAGTAAGTCAATTCAATTGTTCCATTTAGATATAGCTGATGCCTAGAGAACCAAGCATTATGACTAAGAGATTCTTAAGTGAAGTGCTGTGATGTTTGTAAGGAAAGGAGTCTTAGTTCATTCAGGCAAGAATCATAAGGAAGCAAACCTACAAACAAGTAAAAAACAAACCCCCTAAAACTTCAATAAACAAAACAATAACAAACACCAAGTTAGTTTTCTATTGCTTTTCCTGTTTTGACGGTTGCAAAATCCCAAGAGTTTAGGACTTTTGAAGCTGGAGTAAGAGACTCATGGGCTGAAATGGACTTTGAAGTGTCATAGTGTGTCTTCAGAAAAGCTTTCATTCTAAGTATCCCAGAAAAAGAATCTGTGTGTGTGTGTGTGTGTGTGTGTGTGTGTGTGTGTGTGTGTAAATCGTCTATCCTTTTTTTTTTTTTTTCCACCTGGGAAGGTTGTTGCCCCTACTGCTTTGATTCTCAAACTGTGGGCCTCACCTCTGGGATGGGGAGTGGGGCAGAGGAGTTAATGTAAGGAATCTAAAAATTCATTCGGAAAGCAGTTTCCTCTTGCTGCTGCTGCTGCTGCTGCTGCTGCTGCTGCTAATACTACTATTTAACTGCAACTTATTTGTACTTACTCTGTGCTAAGCATACTCAGATATTTATAAAGATACTATTTAATCCTCAAACCCCCATGAAGCAGGTACTACTACTATTATTATTACCCCTTTGTAAAATGGGAAAGTGGAGACGCAAACTCAGGTTGTCTGATTTCCTCACAGGTGGAATGACCTGTGAGCAGTCAGGGATACTGCTGCTTCCATTATTACTGTTGCTGCGTTCCCTGGCATTACACAGAGGGCTTCAGTTTGTCTAATGGCTTGCCTGGGAAACGTAGCCCTGCTCTCCTTTTTTGAAAAGGAAAACCCAAGGCAGAAATGTGGATGTGTGAGAAGGTAAATAAACTCCGCCGGATGGTCAGTTATCACAGAAGCTACCAGAACATTGAATTGTCTCCTGGGAGTGAAGAGCTTCTCTTTTTGCAAACTTGAGGAAAAACATGGAAACAGAAAGTGTAGGGACTTACCGAGCGCGACAGTGGGCTGCTGTCAACACCCACTGCGGATGGATCAGAACTCCTCCGCAAATGTGGTTGCCTCTGTACTGGATGGAAGCCATAAATGGCCTGGAATGAGGTGACACTTCTTTCCCTCCAATAATCTCCATGTTGAAACCTACAAAAGAAAACCAAAAGATTTAACATAAAAGATCTAAGCAGATAATTTCATGTAATTCTTCTTTTGACAGCCACTATATCATTTTCACGATTAAAAAAAAAAATCCTACAGGCACCTAATAGTTTTAATTTTACTGATGAGCAATTGTTTAACATTACAGTTTAGAGGAATAGACATAATTATGACAAATCATTTTCATTTATAATGTAACAACACAATCACTAGAAATTCATTTAATGCTCACTGTAGTAGGTACAGGAGATACTTACACTCTGGAGTCATATAAGCCCCAGCTATTATGAAAAATAGAGAAAAAGAAGAAAACTTAGTCATTTTAATGAAATAACTCTGACTGTATTGGTGAAGGAAGACGATTCTAAAGACTAAAATTTAATCTTGCAAGTTTTAACTTGCTCACCACAAACGTTCTAGAGGTGTTTTCACACTTAAGTTTAAAGAGGTATGTCAGTTTGGGGATTTTCAGATCTATGCTTTTAGCATTTTGGGGAGAGTTAAGTGTGCAATAAATAATTCATATCTGGAGTTAACCACCTTCAATATCTGTATGAATACCCATGTTATAAATGGTGAAAGAATAAAAAATATCCAAGCTGTAAGAAATTAATGAAGTAGTAGACAGGGTTCAAAGATGTTTATTGCTCTAAAGCAATACTTACTATTTTTCCTGGCAGAAAATGGTGCCTCTCACATTTAGTTTCTCTCTATTTTTCATTTGGACATAGATTTATTGTGTGGAGAGACATAGAACCTTGCACAAATCATAGTTGCCTTACAATAAGGCTTTGCTAAAGCCTGAATGTCATCCAGAGAAACCCATATTCTTTGTAGCGAACTTATTCCTAGTCATGCCATTTTCTCTAAATTTGACCAAATTTTGTGAAATTTTAGTTTCATTTTTTGGGGAGATTTCATAATGTTACTAAGGGGAATATTGGCAACATATTTTTAATTCCAAGTCTCCCTTTTACTCATTTTTAATTGAAAATGACCATGTGTTTATCCAGGGCCTTAATAATATCTTTTAAAAATCAAGGACTGCATTTTGTTATTTTCCCCAGAAACAGATGATAATCCATTGCTAGGCTTTTTACATTACTCTCTCCTTCACTTCAAAAGGTATTAGACTTAAGATTCTATGATACTCTTGTTTTTCCTAGGTGCTGATGTTATAAAATTTTAAAAAAATGCAAATGTTATAAAATAAAGAGTGCAAATAGACGAATCAGGCACCAGAAACTCAATTACTTCCCAGAAACACTGACCAAATTACTTTGAATGAACAGATCTTACTTTCTTTTTTCTAAGATATATATATATATATATATATATATATATAATAGAAGATATATATATATATATATATATATATATATACTATCTTCTATTTTTTTTACAAAGGAGAATTGAAATCCTGGACTATTATGCTTGGCAGATTGTAAGAGACTCTTACCAAATTGTTGTTTTCTAGCATAAGACAGTAAGAATAATAATAAGTAATATTATAATATACATTATACATTATAATTGAATAATATAAGTGCCTTAAATTATTTCCACCATTCTTTTCACATGGTCATTTATATATTGTCGGTCTAATGTCTGTGAGGAAAGCGGAACAACTATTATGTTACAAATGAAGAAACAGGCTCAGGGAGTCATTTGCCCAATGGTATACAGCATACAACCTGGACCAAATCATTTGCTTGACCTGAAATAACTTGTATATTAATAAACACACTGCCACGGCACAGAATTTGAAAAAATATTCTGTTTTCACTTTACAGGGATGAGGCAATAGTAAAGCTCCTGCATATTAAAGAAGCAGAATTAACAAAACCAATGCAGAGTAGTGACTTCCTGTCACAAAGACATGTAGGTGAGACAAGGAGGAGCCGGATTAAGAAAAGCCACAGACTTAATTACCCAAACTTGTTAGTTTCAGCCAAAATGTCCCTGTGAATTTTCAAGTAATCTTTGTCACTGTTGATGCACTTTAGATGAATCCCTTGTGTGCCACTTTTCCAAGCTATGAAAAGGACAGGATGACACCAGCTTCCCTTCTATGTCCCAGCGATGTTGGGAACATAAGGGAGATAATGTGTGACGTGTGGAAGTGATTTGAACAATGTGGAAGAAATGAACTTGGTAAAAGACACAGCTTCGTTTCTGGTAGGGGATCAGAGGGTGGCATGGTTAAAAACATCTTTCAGTTCCTTATTTTTGTGTAGTAAGGACCATCCACACAGATTTTTACAAATTGCTAAGTATTTTCAATGATACATCCATGGAAGTGGCTGTTATTAATCTGGTTTTGTAGATAAAGACTTGCTGGAGAGTATTGAGCTAGCAGGTGGAAGAGTCAGTTTTTAAGTCCTTATGTGCTGGCTCCAGGCTGTTGTTTTCAGCCTGACCACAAGCCTGCTCTGGGGGCTTAGATGCTCTAAGAGGCAAGCTGGTTGTGCCCAGGAAAAAAGAATTTAGCCATATACACCGCAATTAGACATGGGTGAGACTTAGTTCACTTGGAAGGACAGCCTCATAATTTTCCTGCAGCTGACCTGGAAAATTCTGAGAATCATGTTGATTTATAGTAAGGAGTTCCTGGTTTTGGCTTTAGACTGATGCACCACTTGATAGTATCATTTGTTATTATACTTAGGATCTTGGATTTGAGAACAGTGGGCTGTGTAACATGATAAGGTCGACAATCTAATTTATTTCTGGGTGTTGATTTTTGTTCTGTTGAGTCTGTGCAGGGAGAGCCGTGTATGCTTTGGGAGGCTTTTGCAGCAGCTGTGCTCAGCGGGGCAAGTGCAAGGCTGCGGTGCTCAGGGCGGACCGCTCCCCCGCGTCGTCGTCGGGGGGGGGGGGGGACCCTGCAGTTCTTTGCTGTGTTGTATTCAGCTATTCTTATTGGCTCCTCTTAGAGATACTGTTTTTGAGTGTGGGATTTTTGTTTCCCTCCATCTCTCTTCTTTCTTGACCCTTCTGGAAGCTCCAAAGGCCACATGTGGTTGTCTCCACTTGGCTGCCCAGACACCTGCTTCATCACATTCATTTAGCCATGCCCCCTATAGCCGTGTCACTCAAAGCGTGGACCTGTGCCAGTTTGTGACTTGATTATTGCCCATTTGGAGCAAGACAAGGACAGAGAGAGATTTAGAGTCAGAGTTTAGAAGCTATCTCAGCAGTTGATCAATGGCTTTATGCTAATTTATTTTATTTAATAAAATGTAATTTAATGTCTGTTCAGTATAATCATAAATTAGGGGATGTATTTTGTATGCCTTTGTTTTTAATTTAACTTTTCTATTCATTTGTGTTGTATTGTATAAAAGTATCAGTCTGCAATGAACTGAAACTAAAACCAAACAAATTAACAAATAAACAAGCCCCCCAAAACACACCTCATCTTCTCCACAGGCAGTTTGAGCGCAGCTCTGTAGACACAACTGCAAAGCAGAGCTTTTTCAAGCCCTTCCTCCCTCTTTCCTTTTAGCCTCCTTTGAAAAAGTTTCCCATTACCGAGGTTTCCAAGATGCTCATGGCTGCCCAAGTCCCCCCAGGCCCCAGCTCTCGAGATCAAGATTCGGGAGCATTCCCCTGTGTCCCTCCTTTGTGGGCCCCCATCTTCTGGGCCTTGATTTCTGCCCAGCAATGGCTTAGCTAATTTGATAAAGGAATCTGCTATCAATTATGGTGAAACTATGGCAGCTTTAAAAATCGGAATGGGGAGGGCTATCGGGGTACTGTGATGACATGTCTGAAGGGCCCAAGGAAATATAAATCCGACTTCAATTAGAGCCATCCCTCCCATGAGATTCCTTAAAGTGGGTGAGCTTGAGAGCAATTGCAAAGGAAAGCAAAGTACCCCTTGATTTGGACCTGGAGCTTCGGCCTTAACCTCAGTGCAGAGATACGGGGTAAGCTGGGTTGGGTCATGCGGTGTACTGCCTTTTCCTTATAGCTACTTAAGTTTAAATGCTTCAGTGAATTGCTCTATGACCTCCCTTTGGTAGAATGATGGTGATGATGAGAGTGGGATGGGGAGAAATTTGTTTTATCTTTTTTCACCTTAACCTTTAATTAGAATATATTTTACATATTAGTTATCTTCCTTGACTAAATATGAATATGCTCCAACATTATTAAGTCACATAGTCATCCTTTAACCTCCTCCTCCTTTACTCCTCTTCAAATCAACTATGAAATGACTGCAGTGGATTAAAAGTGCAGGAGTGAGTACAGGATTTTGGAGTAAGGAGTAACCACAGGAGAACAAGTCGAGAAGTTGGCAAATCGGGATTTCCCAGTACTCCTGGAGTTGGGTGCCTGCTCAGGCACTCTCCTTATCTCAACTTTTTTTCTCAAGCTGCCCTTTTGTGACAACTCTTCTTTTTCTTTTCTTTTCCAGGGTGACTTTTGATGTTTATTTTTACTGAGTTGAAATATTATGGGAGTGATTGAGAAAGTGCTACATAGGTTGGTCCTTGTGATGTCACTGGACCCAACGCAGATCACTCACACTGTCTGTAATATTTGTCCTAAAGGATTTACACATGTGAAAATCCTTCGTACAGGGATGACCACCAAAGACCCACATATCAACAGCCAATAAGGATAGCTGAAGGTTTGCTGCCCTGACCTCTCTCCCAAGCAATTGGCTAGTGGAGATGCTGGTCTTGCACAGAGGAATTGAGGGCTTGGATAATCTTAGTGGGGTTTTAGGGAGAAAAATGGGTCAACATATAGGCCAAGTCAAGGGAAATATGTCAGGGAAAGAACCCAGCAATAAAGACCAGAGGAAAGGCGGAGGAAGTAGGAAGGGAAGGGAAAGAAGTAAATAAATATTGTAGAGGAAAAAAGGAAACAATCAACTGAGGATGGGAGCCTTACAATGGAACATTTCCATCTATATTTGAACATCTCAGATACTGTGATATGTCCCAAGCCAAATACATCATCTTTTTATAATAGAAACAGACCTGTTAAAATGAATAATCTTATCATATTGAAAGCAATTCAGTTGTTTAAACTAATCAGAATGGTTTCATAAAATAAAGTTATAGTAAGCAAAATAGTAGGTATTTCAAAGGGGATGATTAGGCTCTTTAATGAGGGAAACACAGTAAATGCTATGGCCAAGCTGAAACTCAATAAATCAATTGATTCAGTATTCCTTTATTTTTCATTTACAATGAATTCAAGTTAGAATTGTTACATAGTTCTAAGTATGATGGATATACTCTTTTCAAAGGCTAATGATTAAGCAAACAACACACACACACACACACACACACACATTTGCATAACCCCCAACCCTGATCCCATGCCCACTGATTCCTGAATCTCTATGTTACTCTTTATCATTAATAAATTCTAGGTGGATTAAAGATTTTTTATG